AAAAAATAACTAGCAAATTTTTACGAAATGAACTATGACCCATCAACGATTTGCTATCTCTTCGTTATTTTCCAATTAAATTAATGGATTTACTGGAACGTAAGATACAATTTGTGACTGCACAATTATATAATCTTATCATTTGATATGCGACAATAATTAATGAAGTTAGTAAATTAATTCATTATTTCTGAACTTTCTTAAATGCCTTCAGAAATAAACAAGGTCAAATTTTAGTATTTTATCACGAATCAATAATAATTGCTATAATAAATTTTAAACGATTTCATAATTTATAATAAAAAAATCAAAATAAGAATCGATGATCAACATGGCTACTTTTGATAAGATGATTGGTGAAAAGGATCGAGATAAGTTTTCTGATAACAATTGATACGATATAGGTGATAAAAGCTGAACATGTATAACTTTTCGTGAAGATATACACACTACAAAATAGCGAAAATTCAAATGATAAATAAATCCATTCATTGCCATATATAAATGCTCCACTGTATGCTATTTCTGATTTATCCCTGGAACCAAAAGTAATTAATTAATTAATTATTTGATTACTTAACAAATTTACGTAAAATTTTCCATAAAAATCTATATTCCTAACAATTTTTCAAAATGTATATATTTCGTAATTGTAAAAATCACTAATCTTACAATACATTTCATCATTTATCGACTTATTTTATAACCTAATTTTAATCCCTAAAATATTACTTAATAAAAAGGTTTAAAAGTTTCCCAAAATATTACATCAACAAAGGTTTAATATAGACATTTTAAAAATACTACCTAGTAAAAGTTAATAAGAAGTTAATTAAAATATTACATGTTAAAATTTAAAAAAAAAAGGATTCACAATGTGTGTTAAATTTTCTTTTTTTTAAAAGCATATCTGATTTTTATTGACAACTTGGATAAGTACTGATACGGTACATGCAATAGTGTTACTGTAGTTGCAGCTTCTTTTTCAGTTACATTCTACTGTAGTAATTTCTACTTCATTTATCGTTGCCTTTTAATATGACCTACCATAACTCCGTACTATTCGTACATATATCGATCTATCTATCATCTTATATCATGCATGAAAGTTATCTTAAGCTTGTTTATCCTAATATTCCTGTCAAATTTTACAGATCATCAAGTTATGAATAAATTAAATATGCACATATTATTCTAACCTTACAAAATTGCCAACATCCGATGAATCCTTAAATTCAATATCGAATAATAATTCAAGTAATGATGGATCACTAATAACATAATCCGTTTTTGGATTATTATGTTCAATAAATGTCATTAAGAAATTTTTCAATTGTTCATGTTCCTAAAATATTAGTTATTTAATTTGATTATAAAAAATATTAATTAAATTTAAAAAATATTGTTTGGTAATTTCCTTCGTTTTTTTCTTTTTTTTCTTTTACAATTACACTTTTCATTTGTATAATTTTCAGCTGATTCATTTGAATTATTGCATTTTAATTATTGGATTAAAACAAGAAAATAAAAAATTAAAATCCTTTTAGTATTATGTTTTTAATTTCAAAAATTTCATAAATCCGTAATCTCTTATAGTATGCAAATTATTAATATCATTTTCACACGTTTATTAGACAACAAACATAATACCTTAGCAATTTTCTGAATATTAGTTGTTGTTGCATCAAAATTATCAGTGGTAAAATTGCCCAATTGTTCCATATCATTTTCTAGTATTTGTGAAGCAGCATCAAATTGTTCACGAAATGTTTTTGGTAAATTAATGATGTATGTTTGAAGTTGACTACCGGCTTCTAAGCCACGTGTACCACATAAATTTTCCTCAAATAAATTATTTAATTAAATGGACAAATGTATTAAGTTTTTTTTTTTTACGTTAATGTCTCACGTACAATAAATACATACGTGTGATAAGTATATTAGCAATTTACATGCTGTGATAATGGTTTACCTTAATCATAAGATTACTATTTTCATTTTAATTAATTTGGAAAGTTTCAAAAGGAAAAAAAAGAGATAAGTTTTAAATATATTACTCGTTCTCCATGCAAATATTGTTTCACCTTAATCATATCAATATCAGCTTGATCATATTCTGAACGCCTATGTATATCAACATATTAATTAATCGTAATTAAAGATTTCTATTTTCTCGTTAATCAATCAATTAATTTGAAAAGTTTTAAATATATTACTCGTTCTCGATACAAATATTGATTCATCTTAATCATATCAGTATCAGCTTGATCATGTACTGAACGTCCATGTATATAAAATCCATGTAATGGATGAGTAAGCACAAGAATGCTAATATTTGAAATGGAACATAAATCGATCAAATTATGAAATGGATCAGAGATAAGTTGTTCAATAATTGTGACACGAAAAAACCATTGAATCATTGATATTATCAAATAGATACTACTGATAATGGCTAATTCGCTTAATGTTGTACTTTTGGCGAATGTTGGAATATCTGCAAATTATAAATGATTAATAGAATTCAGTTTTTAAAATTTCAATTAAATTTTCTTTTTTTTACATTTTTACAAAAGAATATTTCAGCTACATTTCTTAAAATTAAATTTCTTTTCGGTTAAAATTATTCAACAAATTGTTAAGTAATTATATAATTCATTATTCGTTCCATTTTTATTATCAATGGCAACATTTCTATTCACATCATCTACGTACATAATCTAATATTTATAGCCGTATTTTGCATCAAATATAATCTGATAGTTTTTTTTTTCCTGATAGAAACTAAAATTCGACAAATTCAAGATTATTTATTGAAGATTTTCTTTTTTCTTTTTTTTTTGAAAAAGGGAAAAGTAAGTTTTGAATAAATTTAAATCAAATAGATAAAAAGTTTGATATTTTAAGTTGTAAAAGTTACCGGTTTGTAATCCAGGTGTAATAGTTGCCCAATTTTCAAATTTTAACCAATTAAGTAATCCAATCATAGCAATCATTTGTAAACCAACACTTGTCTTACGACAATCTTGCAATTCGTTCCATTCATTTGCTACTAAGTATGTTCGCCTTAAAGGTAAAAATTTCACTTCTTTTTTTTTAAAAAAAAAGTTCAAAACCTCAGTTTATTTTAAGTAAATCAATTTAATATTTTTGTAAACCACCATTTAACGAGAATTACCTCACGATATATCTATAATCATAATCATAATAATTACAATAATAATTATAATTTAATGATAATAGCAATAATGATAACATTGATAATAACAGTAATAATGGTAATAATAAT